GTGATACCAGGTTTTCAAAGTCTGATAGTCATTTATCAAGAACCTTAGTGACTAGTAACTTGGTAAACTCAGTAAAATTTAGTAACTACGCCCATTCATTAAATAACAGCAGGCCGCAGAGAAGGAAGGTGGCAAAGCCGGCGAGAAGCAGGGAAGACAACTCCATCGCTATGTTTAGGGGTTCACGGCTGCTGCCCCCCCAACAGCTGGAGGAGCAGTTTTAACTGCCAGTCTCACACGACGAAGAAGAACCCAGCCCTTCCACCCATTGAAAGTACGCGCGAGATCCAACCCTTCCCAAAGGCGTGGCGTCACCAGTTCCTGGTGAGGCGAGACTGAGCCGCCACCTCCACACAAGCTGCGCGGGAAGGACTGTCGCTTTCAATCCCATCGCATTCCCTTCTGCACCTACACACTAGGCGAGTCGGGAGTACAGTACAGCAGAACACCTCCAGCACTCCTCTGCCACCTCCCTTGCCTCTTAGCGCCCCCCTAAGTCTTCCCCCCCAGGGGGCGGTACCGCCCACTTTGGGAACCACTGCACTAGAACATAAAATAGAGAAAATTACAACTTTATCTAATAAACAGATTTGAATCCATGATTAGCCATCACAATTTCCATATATATTCTTAAGATATTTTTTAAAAAAAATTAAATAATGCATCCTTGGTATTTGCCACTAGAAAAATAATCTTAAATGTATAGAGATATCTCAACTGTATGTTGGAAATATGAACAACAAGGGAGTTTTTATCATCCTTGGTGACCATGTAAAACAGCTAAAAAATTTGGATTCAAATACATACATTAATTCAGAAGATCTTAAAGATTAACATACAATTGAAACCAGAAATACAGTATTCCTTATGGGATTTTCTTCTGTAATTCATACTTTTCATATCGACCAATGCAGAGAGACAAGAAGGAAATTGTTAGAACATCTGTTCTTCCAACTGCCATCTTAGTTTATAAGTGGACAATATAACTTCAGAAAGTCAGAATTATTTAATCCAGTTCCTTCCTTTATTTTTACTGTAATTATTTGGCTATAATAATGACTGTTTCCCTTCAATTACTCCTTCTCTTTTTTCTCTCATTCAACTTATCCACAACCACTGAAAAAAAGAACTCCTTACCCATTCCCTCCTTGTTCAAAAGCTTTGAGTGAACGTTTTCAGTACTAAAGAGCACATCAAAAAGCCAGTGTGAACCAGATATCCAATCCACACATTCAATGAAATTGTGTGTTTGCATGTGTGTGCAGGTACACACACAGACACACACACACACACACACACACACACAACAGCCTATGTAGATCAACACTGGATACCAGGCAAAACACAATGAAAATTCTTATTCTGCAGCAGAAGTTAGATTAGGGCAGTGCAAAGGAATAATTTCTATCTAATTTTAGTTCTTGTTTTTCAAAAGCTGTGTCATTTTGTATGCTAATCTTTGCACACAAGCAAAACATCTGCCTTCCTTATTTATCCAGTAGCTGACAATTGCCAGAACAATTTAGAATTTGATCATAATGGTGACTATGTTACAGTCTTCTGATTCTTTCCCTAACTATCCCAAATAAAAAAGAAAAGCATCTCACAAGTGATTGAGGCCAACGGCAGAGCAAACAATGTTATTTAAATATTTTAAGAACAAGTAGGTGATTTCTGAAGCCTCTTCAAAAAGATGAAATACTTCTGTTAATTGGGAAGCCTTAAATGCAGCAAATTCCCATTTCATTTCTTTCCAAAATTCAAGGCAGAAAAAAGCAGCTATTTTTTTAAATAATCATTTGTGTACATGTCAATGAAAGGGTAAGAAAAAAAATCGCATACATGAAAACTTGAGATTCTGAGTATATTTATTGTGAACAAAAGAATTCCAAGGAAAAATGATCGCCATCAGTTTTGCTTTAAAAGATCCTGCCTATATTGGCATTAATCCGATGTTGTATGGCAGGAGTCCTCAAATTTTATAAACAGGGGGCCAATTCACGGTCCCTCAGACTGTTGGGGGGGCAGACCGACCGGGTGTGTGTATGGCTAGGTGGTCATGTGACTGGGGTGGGTGTGGCTAGGTCATGTGACTAGGTGGGTGTGGCCAATTTAGCAATCCATTAAACAATGCACACAAATTAAACTTTAATTTGTTTTGCTCCTGGGGATGTTTTATTTGCTTTGGTTGTATGTTGCTCTTTAGGTTGACTTTTCTTTTTACTAGATCATTTTTTCATTTGTTTAGGAGTCTAATGGTCCACCTCAGGAAACTCAGTTTTGCAGCAATTCTTCTTAGCCAACAGGAGCTTACAATCAACAAGTCTCTCTCTGTCTTTCTCTCTCTCTTTCTCTATCTTCTGAATGTGGGGAAGGTAAAAAACAGGCCTGTTTTTTGGCCTCCTGGGGCATCTGTGCACTCCATTTTTCACCTTCTCCGCCTCCAGAAGCATTCTGCAGGCAAAAAATGGGTGAAAACGGCCCGGTTTTGGGCTCTTGTGACTGAAGAGTGGATGGGGCGATGTAGGCAGGGCAGCCTCATGGTCCTGTGCGGGCCAGATTAATGGCTTCGGCAGGCTGCAGGTGGCCCTTGGGCCATAGTTTGAGGACCCATGTTGTATGGCCAGGAAAGGTTCTTTGGGTTTGCAAAGCAACAAAAGGAAAGTTTCTCCTTTGTATGCTGTGGTTGTGGTACAGATAAACAGTAACACAAGGACGAAACAATCTAAAGTTCTTTCCACGCTTGATGCTGAATCAAGAAATAACCACACAATTGCTAAGATCATTATTTCCTACCTCTGCAGTTACAAGCCTGGGAGACAAGTTGGTAAATAATATTTTCACTAGAAGAACAACACTATTATGGCCATGACAATGGAAAAATACGCAATAAAAGATGTGATTTTTACTAACCTCGGGGTCTCTGTCTACCCATAATGGAATGAGCCATGCTAAGCCTTGTCGAAATTGACCTTGTTCTTCACTGGTATCATATGGCAAGAACCAGAGTGAAACCCAATCCTATGAAAGAAATTATTTCTATTAAAAACCAAACAAACAATTTTTGTATTCTCTCTGAACTCAGTTTACAGATACTACAAATTGTTTATATATTTTCCAACCATTTATACCTATGAACTTTTTGAGTCAGTGAAATGCGTATCTTAAACCAGTGCTTAAATAGCACACATAATAAAAGAATACTAGTATATTTTGTATATTAAAAGCACAGGGGAAAAGATCACCGAATAATGTAGTAAAGTTAGGAAAAATGGAAGTATCGTAAAAATAAAACCAGGAACTAATTTCACTTCCTTTACAAAATTGCATTTTATATTTGGCTTTATAAATGTATGAAAAAGTTATGCTAATTTAATACTAAAGTTTTATTAAAGGTTATTGTTTGTTAAATTAAGCTGAATATACAGTTAAAAACCTAAGGAACATTGAATACAAAACAAAAAATAGAGTCTATATTTTTTGTAGGAATGTAACTAACTCTACTTCATCTAGCCTAGTTGGAAAAGAGTCCTTACAGTATATTTATTCACTGGAGGAAATAGCTCCAAAGTGGGAAACTTTCCAGCCTATCTGACCTTAGACTGGAGCTCTCCCAAAACAGTCCTAACGGGTGGACTGAGTTTTCGAACTGAGCATGCAGAGGCAAAGGGAGGCGTGGTCAACTAAAAACATCACTCAGTCCAAGGGCAGATAGGCTGTGTTAACCCAGCATTGGACTCTCCGAGCAGTGCACTGGAGAAAGGTTCTATATAAAAGGTTTCTGGAATTTTTTTACTGGAGAAAAGCTTAATTTCTAGGTATGTTCTTCTCATTCTTCTTACTTTCAGTTTCTCCCAATAATTATGGATACTGTTATTTTTAGTTCAGTTACATTCCTTTAAATATAGTGGTGGTTACACATCAATGTAACAAAAGCAGACTTCAAAAAACAAATGAAGATATCAGTTCACCTTACTTTTTGAGAGTTCTCCTTCTCATCATCAAAAGGCTGAAAGAATACATTACTCTTACTAGAAAACTGGACTTATCACTGATAGAGGACTTTCGATATTAGATGGAGCCCATATATGGCCCAAGGGTCAGAGAATACTCATATCTCTATTATAATATAGCACCAAAGCAAACAGGTACAGCTGTCTAGCAAGAGAACTAAAATTTAATTTGCATATAAGCATATAAGATGAACAAACTGATCAGATGTTGCATAGTCAAATTTCAAGTTATAGATATGCTGACTTTTATTCCACTGAATGCATAAAGCGGACAGTTACAATAAACGGTTATGCATTAAAAAATGTTTATCAGTCTCTAAAGGGGAAAAAGGAAAAAAAAACCCTAAAAATTACAACCAACCAATTTTAAGTATTTAGTCGTATAACCTTGATACATTATTTTAAACTTTACTATACATTTAGTAAGTCATCAGTACTAAGGGCAATGGTCCTTCTTAAATACTAAATGGTTCCACTTCTTACAAGCCAAAAATGAAATATTCATGCTGCAATGTAAAAAATAGTATCAAGAATAGTGAGGTGTGAAAAAAGTTATACTGAGCCAGCGGTGCCCATTGCCCAACCTTTCTCGCTTAGCGACCCGGGGGGGGGGAGGGCAGGTGGTAGAAGAGGAGATAGTTCCCTGCCCACATAGCTCCATTTGTGTGAGTGGCCACCACTGGTATGAGGGGAGTATTGCGTGCACGCAGACACAGACCCGCCACTTGCCTGGCCCTGTTCCAAACAGGCTTGTTGTTCCAAATAGGCCTGTTGCGTGGCCCTGTTCCAAACAGGCCTGTATTAAGCAATGTACTAATCAAAGAGAAGTTTATTTTATTGTTTTCATACCTCATCTTGAGCCTGAATACTCATTTCATGGGACAAGTGAAGCAAACAAAGGACAGCACTCTTGGTAACTCCTTTTCCCATGAAAGACATGGCATTGCCTCCCCACTCAACATAAAAAGATGAGATGACCTAACAAGAGAAGCAAAAAAAACCAAACAACAACAACAACATAAAAACCTGCTATTCAAAGGCATCACAACTTTGTCACAAATATCAGCTTATCAACCCTTAAAGTTAAACTCTGGAACAGTTTTGACGGCTGCTTGGGGAAATGAAACTTCGTTTACATGCAAATTCTGTTCTTTCTGAATTCGGAAATAGTTTCGGCTCTCTCAACGCATACATTCAGCAATTATAAATTCTTGTCCTTACTGGACGCTGGCCAGATGTAAGATGCAAAAAAAATGTATTAATTGTGTCACTTTGGGGATATGCAAAAAGTGGAAGAGTTTAAAAGCCTGTAGAATTTTAATCAAGGCCTGAAGAGCTGACAGCTATCGTGCAATATATCTGGGTATATAAACTGTGAGAGATAATATTTCCTTTGAAAGAATTATGCCTGCATAATGTATGTCTAAAGATCTGGAGTGTGATAATTTTATTCTGCTTATTTAAAATTATCGTTAAGTTCACTTTCTAAACTCTGCATAAACTCAAATTAGATGTGACATAGGATGTCTTTAATAAAAATTTCTGTTATTTTTAAGGGATAGATAACAGGTGTAGCAGGAAATGGATCTGATCAGATGAATTATGGCTGAGAAAAGCTAATTCACTCACCCCCTTACTCATTTAGTTGCAATTAAGTATACTAACCTAAAAACTGCTACAAAATCCCTTGTCACATTGTAAGGCTCCATTCTTTCCTGATCTCTCATTTAGACTGCAGTCCAGCAGGAAGATCTTTTTCTTATTAATAACACACAAGTTGCTCTAAGACTTTTTTCAGCTGGGAGTTTGGGTTTTTTTTAACACAATGATGAACATATAGTATTTAAATTACACATAACAATTAAAAATATTCTATTCTGCTGGGCTCTATGTTAAAATCTTAGAGTCAATTTGTGGTGCTCTCACAAAGGAAATGATCTGAGGATTAGGCTTTTTTTAAAGAAATTAACCAAGTAATATGCATTATTCAATATATGCTATTTTATATCTAATTCATCTTCAGAAGGGTAAGTATTATATGGCAAGTGTAGTTTTCAAAATTAGCAATAGATACATATTTGTAGCCCACAGTAATGAGAGATATAAAGATACAACAATTATTAATGAAACTATTCATTGACCAGAACCTGATAAAATACTATACTAAATGTTTTCAAAAGATGAGCTCCCTAGAAAAACTTCCAGTTGCACAGGATATAGTGAAACCTGTCCCCCTTCCCTCTGGTGAAATCTTGGCTGGAGTGTCAACCATTCTGTTTAAAGCAGTATCAATCCACTCTTTTTATTTCCCAAACATTAAAAAAAAATACCATTGTTTGTTTACCTCAAGAAGCCCAGCTAAGTATTTCTTGCAAATCATGAATGGCTCCACTGTGACAGAGTATGAACTCCAGCCTGGCAGTGCTGTGACATGAACCATACTATTTAATGTCCTTTCCAAGAAAGGTAATCCATAGAAATGAGGGGCATCTGTTACTCGCAAATACTGCAGAAGCTTCAAGGCTAGTTCTGTTCGGAAATAGCCAGTAAGTTCCAAATCTTTTCTATTTAAAAAAAATTGAGAAAATGGTAAGAAAGGGTATTAGAGAGCCAGTTTGGTCTAGTGCAGGAGTGTCAAACTGGTGGCCCACAGGCCAGATGAGTCACGTGCAGGCCACACCCACCCCAGTTCCGCAAAGGTAAAAAAGGTTGTGTTACATCACATGACACGATTGTCTAATGGTAAAGACATAAGGCTAGTATCCAGGAGACCGGGATTTCTAGTCATACTTTAGGTAGGAAGTTATCTGGGTAACTTTGGGCCAATCATTGCCACTCAGACCTAGGATGTAGACAATGGCAAACAACTTCAGAAATCTTGATAAGAAATCAGGAGGAAACTTCTGAAAGACTTCTGAGATTCTAATTAAGCTTTGAGGCAGTTGATTGTGGTCCTGGGACATCACATCTTGCACTTCAAAAATCAACTAATTATATTAGTGATATATATTGCTGGGTATCTCATTTTATGCCATACCTGTCAGTAACAGACATGAACCTGAGTAGAAGTGTGTTAAAGAAAGCAATCAATTCTTTCTGCAATTGTTGTCTTACAGCTGTCTTTAGCTCATCAGCTTCATCTTGGACTGGAGATTCTGGCGGTACCACAAGATCTAATAGAGATTTTGGATTCTGCACAGGAGATCAAGGCATAACATCAATAAAGAACATGTTTCACTACCTATTCTCCAACAGAACATAAAACTCAGTTTGAAGCTAGCAGTTGACATGCTTTTTCGTACTAGAAAGAAGCTATTTATGAATAAATTTTCTGAACAATTTATACAGAATTAATATGCTGCATGACGGAGATCACCAGTTATTCAGTAAACTAATTTCAATGATATAAAAATTCAAGCAAGCAGATGGTAAGAGTTTCCTGGCAGAGACAAGACAAATTTACCAAATGGTTTATTAATTGACACTAACTCCTTGGCTACAACCTACCAGATTCAGTGACTTTGTGAAGAGTTTTCTTTTGGTGAATATATTTAAATGTACTTCCTGTCACAATAGTCATTCTATGGCAAGCATACATTTCTCCTGATCTAAAATCGGTTTTTATTCAGAAAAAAACATGATTGTTTCTAATGCATGTGCTTTTCATTGTGGAAAGTCTTGTGCATCTTATTTTTATATGAGATAACTTTTAATAATGGTGGGATAAAAATCTAATAAATGAATGAATGACTAATGGGACAAAGTCTTTTTTTCTGCAGAAGATCAGGGTCCTTCTCCTCCAATTCATTCCAGTATGCAGTGTCATGATTTGAGACCATACTATGGGAAGAAACTATCATTTCCTAAGTTAGTGTCAGTCCCGGTGCCATTCTGCTGGTGGGGAGATTCGTGACTGGAGTGCTTTGTGACTTGGATCGCTGTTGTGCCACATTTGTTTCCCCGCCATACCGAGAGCTTGAAGGACCTTCGGATCCTGCAGTGACTTTCATACGGAACGGCACCAGTACACATGTGACAATGTAAACCAGCATGGTCTGTCACATCATTGGAGTATATTAGGTGTATTGCGTGCACATAGGAGAGGGCGGGCCACAGGAGGGTGGGGCGCAGGAGGGTTTAAATGGTGGAGGGAAGTAAGGAATTACAGGCTTGACTTTAATTCACTCGTGTTTTGCATTGTGTGTTTGTTGGAAGTATCGGAACAGGCTTATAAAGATTACATTTACCATGAACTACCTGCTTATTCGTCTTGTTTGTTTTCTTTGCCTGAATGGAAACTGACAGCTAGATTACCAATACAGATTGCTCCATCCAAAAAGAAAAAGAAAAAATACAAAATTATCAACTGCTTCTAATACTTATTATGCACACATAGTAAGTATAGTAAGTAGAGATAGTAAGTAGAGATAAAGAGTCCTTTGAGACAAGTGCAAAGGCACAAATATGTAAGTACAGGAAAGTACCTTGGTACTCATTGTGAATTGGTTATGAGAAATGTGTTGACTACCTAAAATGATGAATACTAAACAAATGTTTTCCATGAGGAATAATGTAGTGAGTGAGTCACAAGGCAGCCGATACCAACAAGTCTGAGTACCAAACAAATGTTGAGAATTGGAACAAAATGTTTGTATCAAAATGCACTAAGTACCAGATTTGATAAGTTTCAAAGCAGTGGAATACCAAGCTACCACTGTATGTGAAAATACATAATCAGGTGTTACCCAAGATCCTTACATGCTTCAGGACCACGTCCAGGATCCATTTTAGGTGTTCAAACTCTGAAATATTCTTCTGTTCCTTTATAAACTTGTTTAAAAAACATATGACATCAGCCAAAAGTTTTTCATCCTCTGAAGATGCTGGAAGCACTTGAAGAAACCTGTTAGGCATAAACCATGATATCGTACATGTCATTTTGTAGCAGTATCCTGTTACTAGCATTACATGATTAATGTAGTTTGGTGAAATATAAAGTTAAACTTAAAGAGATTGAAAACAGCAATGTGCTGATGCTAAATATAAATGTCAGAAATACAAAGCAGATGAATGCAAGAGGTCTTTTTTCATAATAATAAAAATAATAAACATCAAAAGGTTCAACCATGAAATACCATATTTTTAAAAAAAAACATAGCAGAAGGAATGGTCAAAGAAGAAATGTATTGCCTTTATCTTTTTTTCCTATTCTTTATGCATTTAGCCTCCATGAACCATCTGTATTTACAAATCATATATTCAGAAAATTGCCAAAATCAGACGTCTCACTGATCTAGGCATGCCTCACAATATGCTGGCAGGCAGATGAATGCAGTGTTTACAGTAGGAAGGGCGAAAGGGCCAAACATATTTTCTAGCACTGCTTTATCCTTAGCCAGCCTGTGAATGTGAAAACTTCTGCCTTTTTCGTTGCTAAATACAACTGATTTACCGTTTTCAAAAGCATTTCTTGCTGCGGAAAATGCTTGGGAAGTTTCTAAAGAAACTGGCTCTTTTTGAAAATGTTGAAGCTAAATCTACAGTGACAGATGGCTTTGTAGTCAGTTAGGTAGCTTGTTCTTACACACCAACCTGCTTAATGCTGTTTGCCAAGCCAAGGACTTGAAAGTGGCTCCACAAGGACTACCACTGCACATTAATGCCAGCCTATCGTTCAAAATATAAAAATTCATTTTTGTGACAGCAGCTCTAACTTCCCCGTGAGATGCTGCTTGAGTGATGGCATTAAGACAATCCTGTAGACCGAAGGTTGCACATGTTAACTTAAGGATAATAATATCTTCTGAGGAGAGCTTTAAAGTGCTGGAAAATCTGGAATTAAAAAAAAGAACATTAAAATGGCAACTAAAAGATTTATTTTAAAGTAACCAACCAATATAGCATATTCGTTTTTTCTTCTTTCATCACATTGATTTAAAGTTTTATCTTTTTGGAACCATCAAATAGAATTTGATCTTCTTGTTCTATGGGGCAGTTCATGAAGAAATCTTTCACTATTGTGTTTTTCATAAGTTTACACTGGATACACAAAGACTACCACAAACATATACCCAATCAAGATCAGAAGCTATGGAAAGTTTAAGGAAAAACTAAGGATATGGTAGAAATGAACTGCCTGTGTAATTGTTTGCTAACAATTTGGAGAACGGACCACTGGCTAGAAGCTTTGTTAGGAATCGCTGACTTTAAAACATTATTGGGTTCCTGTTTTCTCCGTCCCTGATCATTAATCATACTAGCTGGAGATGACAGAATTTGAAATCTAAGATTGCCAACCCTATTCCCAACTGGAGTTTCAGTGTTTTATGGTATGGTTTCATTCATTAAAACAAAAGTATAAACATTTCCAAGTGAAGACCGAAAACTAAGTCAGGATTGCTCTTTGTTAAATATAAATTGGAAGAAACATCAGAACTGGAACAACAAAATGAATGGCTTACTGTTCTGCTGCTGTCTCATAACTGGCAATCGCAACTAAATTATCTGCTCCATGGAACCAAGACAAGTTCCAAGCCATTTTTAGCATATCTGACACGTGTTTCGAGGCCCAGAATTCACAAGAAAAGGGTAACACCACCGAGTTAGGACTGACAGCATGATATGCAGAGACTTTAATAGGTAGATGATACCTTTAGGAATAAAAAGGGACAAATTGAAATGACGCTAGTTTTGGAGAACAAAACTTGTATTGTTGACTATTTGATTATAGTCAGGGTTTAAGACTTCTGAAATATTTCTTTATACACTACTGTTACATGGCATATTAAATGAGTTCCTATTCAAGTTACTGACAGTCACCCACATCAACTTTACATCAATCAATTATGTAGAATCAGTTCATCATAAACGAGAATCCAATTTAAAAATAATGTTCTTATGCCCCATCTTATTATACCTTGAACAAACAGCAACAATCAACAGGAACATTTATAATTTGCATTCTGTGTATTGATTGAATATACACAATGAATTAAGGAATAAGTTTGTTTTAATCATGGTTTTTAACAAAATATAGTGATAGGGATTCACACATAATTCTAATTAATGCCAGCCTAGCATTCATATTATTTAAAATATTTCCCTAACAGTGCAAAAACCAGTATTTCTGCATGGGTAACTCTTAATATGAATAATAACTTTACCTCCTTACAACAGCAACAGGCAAGGTGAAGTGGGAAATGGTACAAGGATCACAGGAAACAGTATCAGCCCTGCATAAAACGAACAAATGAATTCAAACAAAACCAAAGAAGACACTTGCTGTTAATCAGGACATGCATTAAATGTCATATATGTTTAGCTAAGCACTGTCATATCTACCCAGGGCAATGCTCAAGTGTAGTGAAGGAAAGCTGCATTTCAGCTTTATGTCTGTCAGCTTTCACACTGGGCTCAGTACCAAATCCAAGTCCTTAGCTCTCTTCTTATTCAGGAAGTGGCTAAATTAGAAGCAGATGATTCTTTGACATGACTTCTCATTCCAGACGAGAATGAAGCCTGATACACAAAGAGGATTTTAACCATCTCCAGAAAAAAAGTATCAAAGGCTTTTTTTAAAGATAGGGGTCTCCCAAACGAAAACTCTCGGGGTTTCTTCCCTCTTATCATTCTCATTTGACAGCTATGTAACTACTCTTTGACGATCTTGGAAGACAGCTGATAAACACTGAAATAAGGATGCTTTCTAGCCTGGGAAATTCTGGTTTCCATCTCATCAGCTGCAGGCCTTACAATATCATATAAATTGGGAATAAATGGGGAACTCATCAAATTTGCAGATGACACCAAGCTGGCAGGAATAGCCAACATTCCAGAAGATAGGCTAAAGACACAGAAGGATCTTGACAAACTTGAACATTGGGCACTATCTAATAAAATGAAATTCAATGGTGAAAAGCGTAAGGTTCTACATTTAGGCAANCAACAATCTGGGTCCTCATTTTACCCACCTCGGAAGGATGGAAGGCTTTGAGCTTGGTGAGATTTGAACTGCCAAATTGCAAGCAACAGGTAGTCAGCTGAAGTAGCCTGCAGTACTGCATTCTAACTACCGTACTGTGCCACCACGGCTCTTAATGTAACCACAAAAGTTGTAAAATGGGGCAAACTAAGCAACATATTTTGGGTTCATTTGTGGTTGTAAATCAAGGACCACTTGTATTTTTGCGTTTTATTCATTTCTTTTTCTTCTTTTCCATTATTATTTTAAAAGCAACAAAACATAAATAATTTATCCAATATTTTTATTCAGTCAAAAGAACAATTTATGTATTTAATAGCTGAAAACGTCATCACAGAATCATAATATAAGATTTTCATATGGCATGCAAATTGCCCAACTTACATATCTGAGCAAATGTTGAGGTATTCCTTAAGTAGAACAAAATAATGGTGAAATGGAAGACTTTTCATGGCTTGTTCCGCCAGTTCAAGTAAATCAAGAAGATTTTTTTCTCCCTTTTAAAAAAGTAAAACATATTTCATTTTAAAGAATAGACAGATGAATTAATGATTAACTTGCACTCATATGATCAACAAAAATAATTATCTAGTAAAGATGAATGTAATAAGTAGCAGCAACTCTCAAAACTTCTATAGACAAGTCAGTTTACCAGTAGAATTATCAATAACGATATCAAATTATTAAATATTGAAAATGCTGATGATCAGAAGTACACTTAGAACATTTAACTAGGTCTAGGGAGGCATACATGACATTTTACACTCCCCCCCCAATTGAAGTTCACTTAAGGTGAATGTCTTACCTTTTTGCGAACATCCAGCATAAAATTACAAGCACATTCCATTGAATGGGCAGCTTCTGCAGCTTGTTTATAAATACTGTAGTTTTCTGAATTCATTTGTTCCAAATAAGCGATGACTGACTCATGTATATTTGGATATTCTAAGGAAAATGGCATGTCCACAGAAAGGACGAACAAAGCTGTCACTAAAGTCTCTGGTAAAACACTAGTGGCCTGGAGGGAATAAAAGAAAAAAGGCTTAGGCTCTAAAAGTCAACCTATATAATAAATATTAGTCTTAACTTTTGATTATTTTGAATATGTGACCAACATAATTTCTTCAAACAAAATTATGTTTAATTTGCAGAGATATTACATCAAATTATATCAAAGTGATGGTAAATCTCTTGGGAATTTTTAACTCTGCGCTCTACATGGGGCAGCCTTTGAAGAGTATTCGGAGACTTCAACTCGTCCAGAATGCAGCCGCGCGAGCGATTGTGGGTGTACCNATTTCTCCTCAGTTCTAAGTTGCTTCTCTCCTTGATTAGTTTCCACCCATTGCTTCTTGTTCTACCCTCGGGTGCTTTGGAGAATAGTTTGACTCTTTCTTCTTTGTGGCTGTATCTTCAAAACTATATTCCATGGAGGCTGGGGTACAGATAATAACCCTTCCTGGGCTGAAATTTGATTGCTAATTTACTCACAGTGGCTTTTTTGAGAAGAGAAGACGAACAGAAGCTCTCAGCCTCGTAGTTTTTGGGAGAATCCCTTCATTTTCAGTCGTTGTTTCACTCAGGGTGAGCACACAGTTACCTAGAGGTTCTTCTGTGTTTGCATAACCCTAAGTAAATACTTACAAGTTAACACAGGCAGTTAATTACCATAAGTAAATATCATGCTCCAAAAGAGACATCATTGCTTTATTACCAAGAAAACTGTCTCCGTAATTGGCAACAGGAAGTTAATAGACCAATTGATAGGCAATTGCCATTTGTTTTTCAAACATACATTGTTTGTTGGAGAAGTTCCAATTTGGGGAGACAGCTTCTGGCCAACCGCGGTTCAATTTTCTCAGCAATGTTGCCTTGTAGGGTTGCCTGGTACCATCACTGCCCACCAGAAATACAGCAAAAAAGGTTCCAGCACAATCTATAGTGAGAGTCCCCTATGTAATGCTCAGGTTCATTAACTTTCCCTTTGTGCACGTAAGACTTCTGATTCCAAGTAAAGGAAGCCTTAATAGGAAGAGTAGTGGTGATGGGGAAACTAGAAGAGGGACTAAGTTAGTGCTTTGTACTGTTTCCCCGAAAATAAGACAGGGTCTTATTTTCCTTTGACCCCTGAAATAAGCTCTTGGCCTTATTTTCCGGGAGGTCTTATTATTTTTGAGGTGCGGGAGGCAGTCAGCATGGTCACCTCATGACTTCTGCTGTGTTGCAATATTTTGAGGGAGGGCTTATTTTCAGGGGAGGGCTTATTTTAGTGCATGTGCTCAAAAGCCTGATTGGGCTTACTGTCCAGGGAGGTGTTATTTTCAGGGAAACAGGGTATCTGATTGTGTCTGCCACTGTGGCCATTTTGACATTGACAAGTTGTCTCCCATCAACATCAATGGTGTAAAAAAAATGCAAGTATCTAGAGTAGCTCCACAGAGAGATAACTTGAAAATGAATTTAACAAATAAATGAATAAATAAATATTCTCAACATTCATTACCAAACTAGGTAACATCATCAGTGTTACCTGGTTTGATAATAAAATATCTGCAAGAAAGCAAACAAGCTCAGAGAGCACCAAGGAACCCACGGTTCAACCTTGAGTTACACAATATTCTCTTCTATCATAAAAGCCAAAAAAGATGGATTGGCAGCACCATATTGGCAAGCGAAACAAGCAAAATGATCTCACAATAAGGTGAGTTTGGAATTTTATTTGAAAAGGATTTAGGCAATGGTGAGGCAAGAAGTTTCCTGATGGGATGATTATATTAAATTGTTCATTTATATCCCACAAGCCATTTCTCATTCAAAAATTCAAGATAATTCTGAACAGTAGATATTCCTCTAGAAAACTGTCACATCACCAATTTCAAGATGATACTTCCTATTGAAAAAGTCTAATGTTACTTATTCATTCAGCTTTAGTTACAAGCATTCAAGCCACAACTCCAGTGGCGACCCCTCTTATTTCTGGTTACCGTGTTTACATATTTTCCCCTATTGTGTAATGTCAGTACTGCTTTTTCAGCAAAGCAATTAAGCTTATCTGAAGATAAACTACTTTTCAAGAAGATGAGATTACCTGAAGAATTGGAATAACAGGATAGAGGGTTTCAATAAACTTGTTCCAAGTCTCTGCTGCCATCATCAATCGGCCTTGAAGAAGATACATCAGTAGAAATGTGGCAGCTGAGCACACCTGTTTTAATGAGAGAAGATACAATAGCGCAATAAAGTGTGTTCAAACCAATTTGCTGGTGTCAGAAATGGAAATTAGGCTTTGCCTTGGGACATTGCACCAAATAGCTTTTGTGTTTGTTTTCTTTTTCTTTTTTTAAAAAAACCAGAAAGCGATAAAATACTGTCAAGAATCTACTGCCTGTTAGCACTGAACAGTCTTCAAGCAGAGAGTGTGATTCAGGTCAAGAAATGCTTTCAATAAAGCACTGAAGAAGACTTTTAAAAATATTGCTCTTATTCCTAAACATTTAGGAAATCTTCACAACTTAAGATTGGTTTGCTTATTACCCACAGAAAAAGCAGGGCATATTAGAAAAAGATCTTGACATACTACCTGAACTTGAATCTTAGGACATGTGTGTGTGTGTGTGTGTGTGTGTGTGTGTGTGTGTGTGTGTGTGT